TGCTGAGCCCAGGGGCAGGGGAGGGGGGAGGGATTTGATGGAGACATTCCATTTAGGGCTGAGTATTCTAAGGTCTTTCACTGTCTACCTAATATATATTATAGCCTCTTTCACATTCTTTATGTAAATATTTAGAATAATAGTTCAAATGGTCTTGCCCTACCACAACTATCCTCATTTCTCAGGAAGAAGTGAAAAATTCTTATATAATAAAATATTACTCCAATACTGATTAGAATATTTAGGTGAACACATAAATATTAACAAAATCAGTGCACATCTACAAGGTATGGAAAACTGAATGCTTTAATAAAGAAAGACCTCAAACTTAACAGTGCAAGAAATCAGAAGTAGTCCCTCTTGTACATGCTCTACTATTGACATGAAAACAGGATTACCAAACACTAATCTAACTGTCCTTACTCATATATAAAAATCACAATTTCCATGCAGCACAAACAGCCCTCCAATATAAGATAGAAGTGATATCACCAGACAAGCACCAGGAAACTGGTCAAATCAAAACAGGAGACATGCTGTTGTTAAAGAGCCACATTGTTGTACATTGTTATTATGTTTCCATACCTTACAAGAATACTTTGTTTCCTAAGCCTAAAGATACCCAGCAAACCATGCTTTTTAACTTATGTTCAACTTGTGACCCCATGATACATGCCTACTACTTTGCCTTGCTAAACCCCTGAATCTGTGATACATGATTGCCCTTGTGCTTATGAAAATGTCTTCCTTAATGGTTTCCTTAAAGGCTCTCCTTCCATATGATGTATGCTTCTACTTATTTTTATTGTCATTTTATTCTGACAGCTAATTATCCCAACAGTTGATTTTTATCACACTTATATACCCCAGAGATAACCTTGAGTCCTGAGTTGGCTCTTCTTGTGTTCTGGTGCTAACAGCCAATTATCTCAACATTTTTTTTTGTCAACCCTGATCCTTTCCCTGGTGATGATTTTCCATACAGGACACCCAAAGAAATCTCAAAAGCCAGTGAGAGACTGCGCTCTGAAATCCCAACTTTGGAAGAGACATCTGACAAGCTAGTTCTAAATAAAATCTACTTTAATCAAACAGTCTTGGAATTCGTTTGCCTCAGGTCTGACAAAGTACACTGCTTTAGTAGTTGTTATTGTACAAGGCAATAGCGTATGTAGCAAATGGAATGCACCCAGGAACACTGGTGTCCTACACAGGATGCTGTGTGATAAAACAGCTTCCCTCCCCACTGGCAAGCAGAGCAGGATAGTACTAAGACATATTGGTGATGATTTTTCCATACAGGACACCCAAAGTATTTCAATAGCTATAAGCATTCTTTATTGACCAAAATCTTCAACAAAGGTGCACTTGAGAAAGTAAGGGTTCAAAGCCTTTGCAATCTAAATTTCAGATGCATGTTATTTAATGGAATCATTGGACATTATAGACAAAGCAGAGTTTTAATTTCTTCTTGTAAACAAAGCAATCTTAGTGCAGATCTGTACTATGATTTAGGAAGAAGAGTGGTGCAAACATCTCTGCTTCATGTGAGCACAGTAAGTTTCCAATATTATCTCAAGCCATGTTCTTGACTTCCTGGCTTTACACATAGCCAGCTGGGATAGTGCCTCTCACATTGTATCCTAATTGGCATATCTTAGAAGAGTAACTTAAGAAACCTGTCCTCTCTCTCTACTTCCATGCCCTCAGGACCCCACAGACCCTCATAGTGGACCCAGCTTTCTTTCCTCACCTCATTCATTCCTTTGCCTTAGCCTCCAATACCAGGTAGCCCTCTACCTGGGAACCCACTGGCATTGCTGGCCTAGGAATCAGTGGCCTGAACACAGATATAGAGAAGGCAACACAAAACAAAGAACAGAACACTTATTCAACAAACATAAGACCTGATATTAACACCTACAAAACAACCATGGTCTAGAACCAGCACAAAAACTCAATCATTGTTTTGCAAGACAATAGGTCTCCAACAGAACACAGCAACCCTTCTACAGTAGACCCTAAGAAATGCAACAAAGCTAAAGGAAAATACAGGACTTTGAAATAGCTATTATGAATATATTCAAGGACCTTAATGAGGAATAAATTGGATAGTGATGTCTGTGAAAACACACACACACAGTAGAATGAACACAGTGGAATGAAATGCACACAAACAGTGCATCATATGAAAATAGAAATAAACCCAAACTGAGACAAAACTTGAAAAAAAAATTTAGGAAGTCAACAAAATCCTTAGAGGACCCAACAACAGAGTAGGAGATATGGAAGGGAGAATCTCAGATAGTTAAGACAAAGTAGAAGAAAATGGTCACCTCAGTCAAAGAAAATGTTAAATCTAAAAGCATCCAGGAAAAGTGGGAAACTATGAAAAAATGAAATCTATTAATATAGAAACATCTGAAGGACAAGAAACTCAAGTCAACAGTACAGAGAAGATTTTCAACAATGCCACAGAAGAAAAACTCCCTAACCTAAAGAAGGAGGTCCCTATCAAGGTCCAAGTAGCATATAGAGCACCAAAAAGACAGGACCAAGACATGTAATAACCAAACACTAAACATACATTACAAAGGAAGATAATAAAGGACTCAAAGGGAAAAGGCCAAGTAACGTGTAAAGGTGACCCCATTGGAATAACAATGAACTTCTCAAAAGCCAAAAGGCCTATACAGATGTTAAACAGACTAGAAAATTACAGTTGACAGTGAAAACAACTATACTAAGCCAAATTTTAAATAATTATGTGATAAAATCAAATTTGAGCAGTATCCAGCTCTTCAGAAGGCACAAATTTAACTAGGCATACAAAGAGACCAGATGCTGGTGTGAAAGGGCAGATCTGACTTTCTTTACCCCTTTCCTACTGCTGCCAAAAGCCATATGGCAAGGCTTGCCTGTGATAGCAGCCCTACAGTCCTTTTCTGCTGTGACATTTATCTTCTAAACATAAGTACAGAACACTAAACAAAGATTACACCATGACTGTATGTCCAAGACTCAAGTGTGCTGCAAACATGCAGGGATTACTTTGTTTCAGTTTGGAATGTGGAACTAAACTTTGTTCCTATTTCTGAATATTTCAATTTGCTGTGAGGGTTTTCATCTAATTTGACTGAGGGGAAGATACACACTTTTTATAGGGGTATATCTATTGAATTCTGCATGTAACAAGCACACAAACATCCTTAATAATCAATTACCTGTCTGACAAATGCACAGTAAAACTCTGGAAAATTAAAAAAAAAATGGGCATGAGTCTGCTGTTTTTTACCTTTTCTTGTGAGATAATAAAATAGAAACAAACATCGCATCTCTTCACTTGTAGTAATTTACATTCTCGTCATTTTCAGACACACATGTATCCCTTTTCCTAATTTTTAAAAAAATCTGCTTTGTGATCATAGGCCCAGCTGTGCTTGTCAGTGTAATGGTGCAGTCCACACAACAATTTCCTCATGTTCTGTCAAACCCTGTCACCACATTGTTTTGTATGTGTCAGGCATCTGTCCCTTGGTTTGAACAACTCAGGTGATCTTTATTCACGATGAGAATTCCTAGGAGACACTGATGTTCAGTGACCAGTGAACTGAGTGACCACTGTCTCTGACACCTCTGTTAAGATACTGCTTGCTGTCTGTGAAAGGCTGAGTTTCAAGCAAAGCGGGCACAGACAAATACACACCGTTTTGCTTGATGCCTCCCATGTACTGTCAGCAGCTCCTGGGCAGTTTGTACACTAGCGAATGCTCTCCTTACAGATGCAAAATCTGAGCTAGGATTGTGAGGCACAGTAGCTGTCCCCATGGGTGTCATCTTTCCAGGATTCTGTTGCCCCTAATGATGTTTTTTTGTAACAGAAAATTTTCTGTGAGTCTTAAAATTTTCTGAAAAGGCACATCCTGTAAAATACAACTTAGGCCCTGGAGTCTAGTTTGTCTCCTGAGCCATATTTTTTTTTGTATTTTATTTTTTTCTTATCAGCTACATTTTATTAACTCTGTACCCCAGCCGTGTCCCGATCCCTCATTCCCTCCCAGTCCCTCCCTCCCTCCCTCCTCTACACCGTGCCCCTTGCCAAGTCCACTGATAGGGGGGACCTCCTCCCCATTCATCTGATCCTGTTTTATCAGGTATCTTCAGGACTGGCTGCAAAGCTCTCCTCTGTGGCCTAACAGGACTGCTCCTCCCTTGAGGGGTGGGGAGGCCAAAGAGCCAGTCATTGAGTTCCTGTTAGAAATAGTCCTTGTTCCCCACACTATGGGAAACCAATTGGTTACTGAGCTACCACAGGCTACATCTGTAGACATGAGGTAAGATGATCAATCCTCGTTTAGAATGACAGATGGGATGTGCATTGAACGTATGACAGGAGTCTACTGAGCGCATTGGAAAGACTCTAACTAGCAGTGTTTTCAAAGCAAAGACTCATGACCAAACCTTTGGCAGAGTACAGGGAATCATAAGAAAGAAGGGGAGTTAGTCTGATGAGGAAAGGATAGGAGCTCCACAAGGACCAAATATATCTAGGCACAGGGTCTTTTCTGAGACTGACATGCAACCAAGGACCATGTATGAATGTAACCTAGAGCCATATTTTTTTAACTCTGTGGCCCAGATGCACTAGCTGAGCTTGCACGTGATGCCAGGGGCTGAGTCAAGGCCTCCAGGTAGGGAGAGCCACTGCCTGCAGGGGATTGGATTAGAGGCAGGTCTGAGCCTGCGCCCTGAGGGCCTCCTTTGTATTTAAGCAGCCTCTAGGTAGCCAGTGACACTGCAATACTGGTTTCAGCCTCTACTGGACACTCCAAATTTCAGGCAAGAAGCAACTACTAGTCAAGGTGCACAGGAGATGAGATCCAGCCGAATGGTGCTGCAAATATGTTCCAATAGCTTTGGGATGGCTAACCCTAGACATTTTTTTTCTAGGCTTTTAATACTTGACTCCTGCTCTTTCCCCAACCAACCTTTGCTTGGAAATGGCCTCAGCTTCTTCTCAATCATCTGACCCAAGTTTGGATGTTGAGTGGCAGGAGTGGAAGATGAAACATAAAAAAACCTACAGCCAGGTAGGTAACATAGGAACATTCCAGAGGGATCTGAGAACACAATCGTAACTGTAGGGAGTTCATGAGTATAAAAGGAGACAGAGACCAGCCATCACCAAGGACTTGCCTAAAGACATGCACTGTGAACTCAATATGGCCAGCACTGTTGATCCTTTGGGTGTGGGGAATGGCTGGCTGCAGTGTCCTGAGATCTCTCTCCATGGCTCCTCTTTACCAGTCGCTACACTCCAGTTGCTCAGCTTTTGTGGGGGGTTAATATGAAGGAAATATTATCTGTTGTATTTGTCTCTAGGATGAAGAAGGACACAGAAGAATGGTGTGGGAGGAAAATAAGAAGAAAATTGAGGAACACAATGCAGAATATGAGGAGGGCAAGGCCAGCTTTTGCATGGGCCTGAATGAATTTAGCGACTTGGTGAGGACATGCCAACTGTTGACTCTGTATCTTCTTTTCCCATTTTTCCAGTGTCTGTTGGTTTTCAGTGTTTTATTTGCTTTTCCATCAAGACTAATGATGAATTCTGGGAAATGATGACTTGCTCTTCAGACTCAATTTTGCCAGACCAGGACATAATCAACACACATCTCTTTAATGATATCCCTGAGTTTGAGGATTTGATAGAGGACAACACTGAGACACCTGAAAAGGACCAGGTATGACAGTGTCACATTCTCACCCTCAGCTGCCCATAGGGAAGCCAAGAAGGCACTGGAGTCCTCACTCATGTCAGTTGTGGGAACCTATGCAATTCACGGACAAAGTGCTCAGCTTTATGGATATTGGCTGGAGTTGATATTTGGTTATGGATGATAACCTTTTATTCTAGCTCATGGTAAATGTCCTGCAGGTTGGGCTTGAAAAATGGTTGGTTCCCTTGAAGGACCAAAGTTCCAAGGGAGCTGCTGAGATAAAGCCATGGTGCTGCATTATTTCTAATTAATGTCACGTGTGCTTGGCTTCCAGCCAGAGTAACAGTTGTGACATGGAGGGCAACACAAAGATAGCCAAGGAGTGAAGTGATTACTGTGCCATTGCCTGAGGAGCCTTCTGCCCCAAGATGTGACCTGCATGATGGTGATAAGGCTAGCCAGGAGAAAAGAAGAAATAACAGGGGGCCTCCCCAATATAAAGGCCAGCCTGTACTGTGAGGGATACAACACTCAAGATGTTTAAGATACACACTGTTATGTGAACTCTGTTACATTTGTTAGTGTCGTGTTCACACTAATAAAACCTTACCAATATTTTAAACCATGCTCTGAAGTCCTTTATGTTATTGATTCTCACAAGGATGTTTAAGTTTTGCTCTATTAGAAGAAGGTACACTCCAATGTCTTAAAATACCAAGCTTGATTTTAAAATGTACTATTCTGCTTTCTTTCTGGTTTTGCTTCAGTACATTTCTTACGTAGTTAAACACATAATTCTGATTGGTGGTGCACCTGACTGTTGAAGTGGCATTCTGGGAGAGTGGGTGGATCTCTTCACTATAGAGTCAGTGTTCCATCATTGATTAAACATTGTTTAAGATCATTGTTTTAGCAATAATCTGAAAGTCTATTTGAAATTTCCTAGAATTTTAATTCACATGAATTTGACAAGTGAAAATTGTCATTCAGTGCAGAGAGAATGAGCCTTCTTCTGTTCCACTGCTCTGCTCATATGCTCTGTTTGTAGTGGAGCCTTGTAGGAGCCATCTATAGAATGAGGTCTGTGGTCACAGGAATGTAGGCTGTGCTTAAGTGATCCTTTTGTAACCCAGCACAGCCCAGTCACGAAGTAATTTCAGAGCTATGTGAGGGTACAAAATATGTCTTTTGTGTTTTTGTATAAATTTTAGAGCCGTTTGTCATCTTATGAAAAAATTGGAATTTTAATAAGAAATCTGTTAACTAGATAGCTGTTGATAGTCTAATAATTCTGACACTATCATGCCAGTCAACTAGTATGGACCACATTTCCATCATCAAGCTTCTTCAGCTGTTTGATTCTTTGTTGTCTTAACGTTTTCATTGCCACCATGGTTAGGTCTATCCTAGGTATTTTTTAAATAATAATTTTAAATTGTTTTTTAAAATAGTGAATGAAATTTTTTCTTGGCTTCTTTCTAAGTTTGTAACTGACATACAGAAAGTTATTCATTTTTTATCCTTTGACAATTTTATACATACATAATTAATTTAGTCAACTCTACTTCTCTTTGTCCTTTCTTCCTACTTGACATTTAAACAGATTTTTCTCCAGCAAACCTCCCTTCTACCTATGTCTCTTTTTGGTGTGTGGCCCACAGAGTTTAATTAGGGTCATTGCATATGCCTGGAGGTCAATTAGCTCATTGACTAATATTTACATAACTTGGTGGCCTGTTGGGATGTTGAAATCCATACACTCTGCACTGGAATGTGTTACTCTCAACCATATAGCAAGTGAAGCTTAAAGCCACTAATTTTCAGTGGAGCCAGAACAAGGAAGAAAGGGCATTCAGCAGGTCCATGCTTCCTTTTGTGTAGAAAGTTCTGTAACTTGATTCATGCCAACCAGAACACTTGATTGAATTTCAGGTCTTGGTGACATATAAGAATGCTGTCTATGGCAGGTCTCATGGGTGAATTCGAGGAGATACTCTTGAGAATTTACAGCAAGATCCTAAGATCATTTGTAGACAATTTCTCTCCTCTGAAAAACAATTATGCAGTTGTTTTGGTTTTTTTTTTTGGCCTTCAGGGAAACAGAATATTTTGCAATGGAACATCAATTTAACATGTGATCTGAGCACCCTCATGAGTTGAGATTTCTTTGACTCACTAACCCATGAAATGAGACATTCATAAATCTGTTCTTTCATCAAATAGCTGCAATATACATGGATAGGCTTGAACATGTCCTGAGGGAATAAGCATCTTATGTGAAAAACTTATTCAAATGCCTATTGTTCCTAGAACTGTGACAATATCTTTCTGTTTCAAATATGTCTCTAGGTCTCATGAAATACACTCTATGAATGATTGAGAAAAAGAAGGTTAGGATGTGGCACCAATGGTTTTTCATACTAAGCAAGAAAAACCCAGAAGGGTACATCTAGGATATTAGAGCCCTTTCTTGGGATAACACTGAAAGCTCTGGTGAGAGGACATCTTCACAATGGGCAGAATTCTGGACAAGGAACAGGGTCATACATATTGCTTGGAAGAAATGACCATATGTTCAACTCTGTACTAATTTGTGGGTTGTAGCTAAAGGTGTCACTATATAAGACTTAGGATGGAGAATGATTAGAAAAATGGTGAGAAGAAATTCAGAGAATAGGTATTATTACAGGAGCAGTGAAGGTCCATTAAAGGAAAAGTGTTTTCTTCAGATCCAGACAGTAAGAACTCCAGTGTGTTGGAACCTAACATTCAATTTTAACAGGCTGATTATTCATCAAGAAGCTAGGACTACCATTCTGGAAGGTAGATCCTCCATAAGCAATGCTAAAGAATCAGGAGGAGTAATTATCCCTTTAATGAGATTAGAACTCTGCTTTCCTGAACCCCAGCTCCTTATCACAGTGACTCAGAGCTACAGCTCACAAGTAGCCTTGCTTTTCTGAATCGCTCAAAGTGTGACTTGTCCTTTCCTTTCTTCTGCCTGTGTTTCAAGCAGCTTTTAGTATTTTTTCTTTGTTCTGTATACTTACAGTTTTTATTATTATGTGGTGGGAGGATTTTCTTTTCTGGTCTTATTTATTGAGTGTTCTGTAGGCCTCTTGTATTCTTATTGGCCTCTCCTTTAAGTTGGGAAAATTTTCTTCAATGATTTTGTTGAAAATATTTTCTGGGCCTTGGAGGAGGGAATCTTCTTTTTCCTCTATTCCTATTATTCTTAGGTTTTGTCTTTTTATGTTGTCTTGAATTTCTTGGACGGTCTGTGTCAGGAATTTTTTAGATTTCACATTTTCTTTGACAGATACATCGATTTTTTTTCATTGTATCTTCCACACCTGATATTCTTTCTTCCATCTCTTGTAGTCTATTTGTTATGCTAACCTCTGTAGTTCCTGTTTTCTTCCCTAAGTTCTTTCTTTCCACAATTTCCTCCATTTGTATTGTCTTTAATTTTTCCAATTCTATCTTCAGATCTTGAGCTGTTTTGTTGATTTCCTCCACCTTTCTGACTGTATTTTCCTGTTTTTCCTTCAATTCCTTCAGCTGTTTGTTTGAATAATCTTCAGTTTCTTTCATTTCATTCAGTGATTTAAGCATTTCCTCTCTAAAGGCAACAAACTGTTTGGCTGCAACTTCCTGTATTTCTTACAGATGGCCATAATCTTTTTTTATCTTCCTCTATTTCTTTAGGAATAATCTGTTTGAGTTTATCTTCCTCTAGGTCTTTATGCATTTTATTTGTTTCCTCTGTTATCCTCTTCATGAGTATAGATGTTAGGTCATCTTCTTGAATTTCAGTTATGCTGGGGTGTCCAGGGCTACTTGCCCCTGGATAACTGGTTCTGGAGATGCCATATTACTCTGTCTTTTGTTGGTTGAGCTTTTATGCTGGCCTCTACCCATTGGGCTATCGTAGGTGTTGGGTGTTACTTTCTTGTGGTTCCTGGAATCCTGTGGTGGAGAGAGTCCCCTAGGCAGGAAGATGGTTTTTCCTGAAGGAAGCCTTCTCAGCTTTTTGGGTATAGTCACTAGATGGCTGGTGTTTTTCAGGAGTTGCTGCTTTTCACCTCAGGCATATAGACCTGAGTGGTAACTGTGGTCCTTGTTAGTTGAGAGGGCTCTCCTCTCACCCGGAGAAGTCCTGAAGACAGCTGCCCTGCTTCTGGGTTTCTTGCTGTAAATTTAGTGATCTGATGCTGTAACCTGTGTGTCCCTTGGTTTGGTCAGTTTTGTTAGGGATAACTGGTCGCCCCTTGGAGCAGTATCTGGAGGTTGATCTCAGGGATCCCTGGCTTTTGTAGGTCTGAGGTTGGGGCTCTTTGCCCCAGTACCCAAGTGGTAATCTGTGGCGGGTGGATACCACTCTCCTGGTAACAGTAGTCTATCTGGTGCACAGCAGGTCCCTGGGTTGGGCTGGTCTGCAGGGTCCTTTCCAGGTATATACTGGGTGGCAAAATCCGTCCTCTTTGCTTTGTTCCCTGTGAGGATTTCTCCTGACAGTGACTCCCAGTCTCTGGTGCTCTGGGGCGCACAGCTCTGTGTATGCCAGAGAGCTGGGCATGCAGCAACTGTCCGTACTTGGGGCTGGAGCCCAGTTCAGTGATGGCGGCTCATACCCGCCCATCTGGAAGACGTTTTCTAGGGAAAGACTGGGTGACCCAAGTCAATACCATTTCCTTTCTTCCCTGTGGGGTTTTCTCCTGACAGAGTCCCAATCTCTGTTGCCCTGATGTGCACAGCTCTATCTGTGCTGGAGAGCTGGCACACAGCAACTGTCTGTGCTTGGGGCTGGAGTCCAGTTCAGTGATGGAGGCTTGAACCTGCTGGTCTATGAGACTTTTTTCCAGGGAAAGACTGGATGACCCAAGTCAGTACCGTTTCCGTCCTTCCCTGTGGGGTTTTCTTGCGACTGGGACTCCCAGTCTCTGGTGTTTTTTGTGCCCACCGATCAGCCTGGGAAGGTGATCAGGGCATGCAGGTGTGTTGCTCTGGTCTGGTGACCTAGT